TTTTTTTTTTTTTTTTTTTTGGTAAAGCTGACATTTTCTGTTCACCTCATTGTCTCTGGCAGTAATAAGAGGAAGCTGTTAGTCAAGACCAGAGTTTGATGAACTCAGGTCTAAAAAGAAAAACATCTATCGAGACACGTGTCCTCTCTGCCACGCCCACCATTTACTTTATTCATGAGCAGGCTGCGGCTTTTCAGAGCAAACCAGAGTTTTTAGGTGACCTAGTTGAGCCGGTTGAGACATCAGAGTGCATGCGTGAAACCAGCAGTGCATGACAAAGTGGAGAGAGCTGAAAATAACCGAGCACTAAACACACTCCGGTCCTTTTATTATGGTGACACAGCTGCACAGGAATGCTGCCGAATCAGTTTTGTGACTTATTTAGCCTCCAGCGGCAGAAGCAGTGCTGCTGTGACATAAGTGTGTGTGGGAAACCACTCAAAATAACGCAACACACACACATTATGAGGAAACGTGTTATCTTCTACAGCTCTGAATCATTAGCTTACAGCAAAACAGCTCGATAACTGAGGGCAGCAGCAGAGGAAAGAAAAACACGTTGGTTAAAGATTTTATCTTGTAGAAATCGACAAGGTGAAGAGACGACCAGCACAATGTCATCAGACGGACGGTGTGAGGCAGGCAGTGAGGTTTGAGTAGCATTACTCTGTATTGCTTCTTTTTGCACACTGCCAGAAACACCAAATGCTGCGTTTCTCAGATCCACATTCAACTCTGAGTAACAGAAAATCCTGATTTTTTTTTTTTTTTTACTCCAAAAAGTTGGAGTCAAAACAGGTGAAAGGAGCTCAGATGTAGTTTGTGGTGTTGGTTGGTTGGTTGCTTGGCGTGTTTGTGGTTGTGGTCATTCATGTTTTGTTGTTAAGTGGGAGGAACACAATTCAAAGTGATCACCATTCTTCGGCTGGTTTTCTTCTACAGAGTTACTATTTCTTGATAGAATGAATTCAGTAGAACAGATCCCATATCAATATCTGTATGGACCCCAGTAATGAAAGCAATTCTAGGTCATGTATCAGTGACAATGCACCCGATCCAGGAGGGAAGATCTATACATTCTAACTCTATGCTTTGTACTCTGAGCGACGTCAGGTTTTATCATTTACTTTACATTATGTTTAGATTTCCTAATTGCACTTTCTGAAGTATTTGAAAGAAAGTTTGTTGCAGTTTATATGTTTGATTAATCCAGTGAAGCTAGACATTACTGTAACTCTGTACATTTATGTCCTTGTTTTAAAAAAGAAACATTTTAAGTCAGTTCAGCTGTTTTTCTGTATCAGATCGCAGTGGTTGATACTAAACCTCAGGTACCAAAAGTGAGAAAAGTGGATCGGTGCGTCTCTAGGGTTTAGGAACACGTTTGTACTATTTGCCAGGAACTAGTTTAACCACATATTACTGGATTCAGTTGCCTTGCCTGTCATGTAGGAATGTGATTTTATTTTCTGCACTGCTCTCTGTGCACCTGAAAATAAAATCTTGACTCTCGAAGTCCGACATTCCACGACTAAAGCTCTGCAGGTTCTGATTTGTTCCGTTTGTAGAGTTTTGTTCTTAGTTATGCTGGTTGAGGCACTTCTCGGCCTGTCACAGTAAATTCAGCTGGACAATAAATCGTCCCTGGAATTATTATGATAAATGATAATGTTGTTGCTTTGAGACCATTTCTGACATACTGATAAAAGCATAATAATGTAAGTTCCCTCTCTAAAATACTAATAAACTTTAATTTTGTAAAGAACACTTGACAGTAAAACTGGGAGACATTTTAAACATCCAAAATAAAACTCAACAACCAAAGTCAATAAATGGAAATAAAAAACACACACAACAATAAACCACAGATAAAGTGGATTATGATGCAGCTGTAAAATATAATCAGAATGGAAATCATTGAGCTCATTTTAACTTATGCGACTGTGACAGGTCTACGTTTCCCTCTGGTTTTGTGTTGTTTGACGGATTTTTGGATTTTTTGCTTTTGGCTTTTACTTTTGCCTTCATGGATGCAGAATAACAATAAAAGCTGGCAGCTGTTACACTTTATCTTTACTTCCTCTCTGTCTAATTTATGTTTTACTGTGTTTTCTTTTTTTGCTTGATCATAAACCACATTCGCTGAGTTGTTCCCATGAAGATATACAGCACAGAGCTTAACTTCCTTATTTACCAAAGTACAATATATCCATCCAGCTGTTTGTTCACTTCAGATTACTTTGGGATTATATTTGCATGAGCCGCTGATTTTTTTTAATTATTTTTCAGTCTTTTTTTAGTTTGTTTTTTATTTCCACCAGTTTAATTTATGTCTCTGTCCTCCAATAACATACTTTCATTAATAGAGTAATATTTTGTCCTTACCTTCCTCATGTTCTCCAGCTCAGACTGCTTGGCCTCGTTTGCCGTCTGCAGCTCCCTCATCCTGAGCTCCAGCTCCTCCTGCTCCGCCTGCTGCCTGAGCCGCAGGTCTCGCCGCTTCTGCCGGGCTTCGTGGTGCGGCGCGGGCCGGCTCTGACGCAGCAGATTCACACACATCTGAATCGCTGAGAGGAACCGAGGAGAAAGAAAAAAGCAAGATAAACATTTGCTGCATTCGAGTGTGGGGAAAGTGCTTTTCCCACACTTTCGTTTTTGTTATTTGGAAGAAAAGCATTCAGTGGATGCACAAGACTTTAGAAAGGGTGGAGGTTCACTTTGAGGCAGGACAAGATACTAAACAAGAACTACAGTTTAGTCATTTAGATCACGTCAAACTTAAAATCCAGCCCACCAGAAGTTTTTATGTGATCATCTGGACTCTGGAAACTTCAAGATAACATTAGTTATTATAAACATCACTGCATTTTTATCTATATTCTGCCAAATTATCCCATGGTGAAAAGATGTTTAATTTTTTTTCATTTCAATAAATTATCATTGAAAGCAGAGACAGGCATTCATTCATATTTGATATTAGGAAGCTTTGTCAACACGGTCGTTCCTTTAAAGACATTCTGGATCCTGTTTGTGGCCCAAAATGAAAAAGAGTTTAACATCCCTGATTTAGACCAAACTATCATCATGTTGGAGCAGCAGAGACCAAAATCGAATTTACAATCATTGTCAATACTTGAAAACTCATGTTCAGAAATGCTCTCCTTTCAATTTCACTGAACTTCAGTGACTTTACAAAGACTAAAAGTCAGTAGAGAGAAATCCCAAGATACTCAGGAGGCTCAAGAAATATACAAACCAAAACAAGAAATAAATAAATGATGTATAATTTTCTTAAACTTTACAATTATTTACTTTGTGCTTGCTTTTGTCACATTAAGTCTTATTAAAATGCACTGATGTTTGTGGCTGCAAGGTGTCAAAATGTGACAGTTCTAAAGGTTTGATTACTTTTCCAATAGGAAAATATGGAGAAGACAAATTTTGAGGTTTGGATAAACTGTCCACACAGCTCACCCTGGATCCACTCCTGCTTCTTCTTCTTGTCCGATGCGCTGATTTCGAAGCTTTTTTGAGACGACTTGATGAGGAAGAGGCACTTCTTTCCCTCTTTGTCTTGTAAGGACTGCAGCGGAAAGCAAGAATGAAACATTTCACCAGTCTGGACATATCATGTACCAGAACATAAAAATGCACACTTTAGAATTAAATAGTTTTTTTTTTTAATCTTCATGAAACAAAGCAAAAAGCAGTAGAATGGGTGGTTTCGTGCCTCCACACTGCAGGATCCGTCCAATGGGATGTCTCCTTTCTTCTCTGCCAGGTCCTCGCCCACATAATACGAAATGAAGCCGGGCTTCAGCACAAACCAGCGCTCTGTCCAGTTCTTCCTCTTGTGGCCTTTCTTCATCATATATCCCTACAAAGAAAAAGAAACAGGAGAATTTTTTTTTCTTCCTGTTTGGGGAGGGATGTCAGCTTTGTGGATTGGCCCAACCGGTTCTGTGGAGGAAGCTACGCATTAGGGTGATGGTAAGGAGGCCTTTCAGGAACATGTCTGTCTCATTTTCTATCAGAAATAACTTTCTTGATTGACTGAATATAATCATTAATCTGAATATTGACCCCTTGCGTGACGTTCTTCAGAAAGCGCCCCATTCCGCCATGATGGACGTCAAAACTCCTGCTGAACTTGTGAAAACGCTGCTTGTTAGGATAATACTGCTTTTGATTAGTTGGTTGCAGTGTAGAAATGATCATATGGTTCACTTTTTACCTAGAAGATTAACGTTCTTACGTTACTTCATAAGTAAGAAAGTTTGGTAAGATACAATCGAATACAGCTTTAGGGAGAAGGGAAGAATCTAATCATTAGTAACCACGGAGAAAATGCCCATCATGTTGCCTAGCATGTATGAAAACAAAACAAAAAAAGAGACGTGGCTAGCATCAAGACTTTTAGATACTTTCAAGTCTGCTACTGTGTAAGGGAAACACTGTTTATGACATAGTGGTTTGAATTGTGTGAATTCAGGCGAAGTCAGATTTGATCAAATCAACTAAAACGTCAGGAGGGGAAAGTACAGGTCGGTTTCTAAGCTAGCTGGTTAAAACTTTTGTAATTACGGCCGTCTACGAGCCCCGACAAGAAGAGTTACTTTCATCGACACATTAGCTTGACTTAAACAAGCGGAAACCATGGTTACATTAGCAAAAACAATCATAATTCCTCTGTTCAATACATCCATCATGGTGCTGCAACATTTTTAGGTTCCGTAGTTCTAAAGTTTCAATACAGAAATATGAATAACTGTATATGAGTGGTTATAGTCAACAGTTAAGTATTTACTGATGAAAATCATCACTTTATGATTCCTTGATGCCAGAGTCTCTCTGCCTGGCGGTGGGAGGAGCTACTGTTAGCTTGTGCTGACATCATGGCTCCGTTCCACAGTTAAATATAACCTGGCTGGTTGAAACGACGCCTAAAATGTGGGAAAATACACAGCATAGAGTATATCAGGGGTGTCAAGAAAGGTAAAAATGTGGCCAACAAAATAAAAAGCAACCGATAACTCAAACATTTTGGAAATTGTCCGTTTTCCTTTTAATAAAGCAACAATCTGAAGCTGGGTCTTTAATGATAAACATGTTTCATAAAAATATTATTTACTGTTGTAAAACAAAAACTAAAAAAAATAATAATCAGAAAGTAAATTTTGCATTTTTAATTGAATTAAAGTAGGTTAAATTTGCCAGTTTTGGCCCACAGGACAAAGGTTTGGACACCACTGGTATATACGTTAAGTAGGAACTATTTTCTGTGTTGGACCAATGGACAAAGCCGAGTTATTTCCTAATAAAAAGGAAGAAAATGTCCTGGACTTGTATGATGTGCAGATATAAAACCTGATAACAGTTGTTATCTGAAACCAGAAGGGGTTGAAGTGTTGCCCACCTGTTTGAGGACATCCAGGATGAGTTCCTGGTAGACCTCGCTGATGCCCATGGACAGCGTCTGCTGGTCCATGCCCTTGCTGAACTGGCCTGAGCCCACCAGCGTGATCAGCTCCCACACATTCAGACACTGCTGCTTGGAGCTCAGCTCCAGCTTCAGGTCCTCGAAGCGCTCCTCCACCCAGCTTCCTCCCATCGCCTCCGTCAGCTTACGCAAGAAATACTCGATCTGTGGAAGAGGACACACGCCGCATACGGTCAAGTCCAACAAACAAGTTCGGTTGGTACGAAAGGGGAAAGCGCAAACACCGTTTGATTTCACGGAGTTATTCCTAGGGGTGGACATTCACACTGCAAAAACACAAAATCTTACCAAGCATTTTCTGTCTGGTTTCTAATGCAAATATCTTAGTACACTGAGTACACTAGGTAACATTTCAGCAAGATATAGGAGCTTGTTTTAAGACAATAATTCCTTAATATTGATGAAAAAGTACTAGTTTCACTGGAAGATAATTTAATTTATATTAAGACATTTTTCCCATGTTGTAAGTGAAATAATCTGCCAGTGGAACTCCTATATTAAGGAATTATTGTCTTAAAACAAACTCCTATGTCTTCCTGTAAAGTTACTTCTAGGTTAGTTTTGTCTTATTTCAAGTATACTAACAAATTTGTACTAGAAATTAGACCAAATACACCTGGTACGATTTGGTGTTTATCGTTTATCGCGATAAATTTCTTTTTGTGATAAAATCCTGGTTTATTGTTGTTACGATAAATTCCAACTAATGACGTCCAAAAGGGAAAAAAGACTGAATGGTGCATATTGTTGGCATCTTCTACAGTTTGCTCAGTGAGAGCATCAATAAATACCAATAAATTTAAAAATGGGCTTAAATAAAGTTACTGTGTGCACCTCAGTGATACAAATCTATAAGTGACTGGGAATGTTTTTCAGGAGCAATATTCACAGTCCTAAAGTTACATTAAAAAGTACTAAGTAGCTCTTATTGTCACTTTTAGCATTATACAAAATGTTGTGATAAAACTTCAAGTTCATATCGGTCACCTCTAATTATGGATGCTGGGCTGCTGAAAGGAAGTCTCTTACTTTTTTAGTACCTTCAAACAGTTGCTGTAATGGGTAACTACGGCAACAACAGATCATTTTATCAACTGGGAGAAACATTTAAGGTCCTTTTGGGATGAAAAAAGTATTTATGAATTCAACAGAACCTACTTGAACAGAAGAAACAACAACTCTCCCTGATTTTTCTGTCTTTTACCAAAGTAGAAGTCTACATTAGCCGAGTGAAGTGTTTAAAATGTCGTTTCAATTCAACAAACACTCCTGTGATTCAGCTCTGATGTTTGTCGTATTCAACAGTAAATCTTCCAGCATTTGTAAAAGAACAGGAAGCTGGAAACTTCCTTTTCTGCTCTTGAGCAACTGACCAACGGGTGAAACAGCAACGCACCACGTATGCAGCACATCACTCTGAATGTCTGTTACAGTAGAATTGCCTCCGGTTTGCAGAACTGCTGGAGAATTTAAACAAAAACTTATTTCAACAGCAAACGACTGAAACGAGAAGTTCGGATTAACTGGTTAGCATGACTCCGTTCATATCTTGCAAATTTGTGACTTCCTCTAGTTACCAGCCAGAAATTTGTCACTTTGCTAAAAGTGAATCTCTGGTGTGAACGACATCACAAACTTGCACACGCCCATCATACACTCATATTTATTTTAATTTGTTTTCAATGAGTTTTAATTCGCAGGGTGGAAACAATGTTTAATAGGTTTATTTTTAAAACCATGAACTTGGTGTTCCTGTTAGTATGCATTTTATCTGATCAACATGAGTCCCTTAGTATCAATAAAGAGATTGCTTAATCCATTTGGTATTACAAATTTGGAACATGAGAGGCAGGGAGTTCATGTTCTTCACATTTTCATTTAGGTTTCTGCTAAACCTCCTAAACAGATGCAACAAAACTAAACTACGTGGAAATCAAATATGGAGGCTTTGCTGTTGCCGGGTGAAATGCATCTCCACCGCCATGCAATGATAAAGATCAACCACTGAAATGCTTGAGAGATGCTGTTTCACAGCTGCTTTCACACACATTTTCACAACGGCATGGCAAAACTGATCAAATAGGATTAGGTGAGCATCACATACTGAAATGTTTGTGTGTAGTCCCATGTATTTATTGTATGGAGGGCAAAAGAAAAAAGGCAGCTTGCCAACAATTACAACCTTTGGTTTTCGCTGTCAAGTTGTCAACATAACGTGCTAAATTTTAAATGTGCAAATGGTGCATAAAAGAAAAAGGGATGCAGCATTTTGCTACTAATTGTCAACACTACAACAACAAGATAAGGTCCAAGAGTATCATGTTTAACTGGTCAGTAAAAAGTTTTAAAAACAGAAACAATATAGCAAAGGACAACAAGAAACTTGCTTAAGCTAGCAAGCTATGCTAGCTTGACTATGACTTTGCTTAGTTGTCATAGCGGTGCACTGCAATAAATGAAACATACCAACTTCTGCAGGTTTCATTTTGTTAACGGAGTTACTCTACTGCAGCAGTGCAGCGCTGGATGGCAGTAAAACAATCGTCTTTTTGCCCTCCTGTGTTGTGAGTGTGCGTGTGAAATTTTTGGATGTAAACAATAACATCAAACGTGTCTAAATGTGATGCTTTTTTGTACATTTTACCACCTTGTTACCATAAATTTAAGTGTATTTTATCTAATAAACCAACATGAAGTCGTGCATCATAGCACATTTTACTAACCCTGAATAAAATCTAATCCAATTAAATGCCTTCAGGAAATTAAGCAAACAGAAGCCTCCTGTCTGGGTTTTATAGATACCGATGAGCCATTTTATTTTTACAGTAGTATTTTCCATGTAAGTCGGTTTGTTTCTTTTGTAACATGAATAATAGCTAGTGATACATTTTTAGTAGTTGGGGGAAAAAATGCTGCCCTTTGCCCCATGACCTTTCCTTCAGTGTAGGGACAGCTGCTGTGATGTAATCTCACCTCCTCCGTGACGATGATCAGCGGGTATCTGTCCTCAGACAGGAAGTTGAATATGCACCATATCTTGAAGGCGTCGTCGTTGGAGATGACGAGCTGTTTCTGACCCAGGTTCTTCCTAAAGCACAACGTCCAGCACATTTTATTGAACTCCTGGCGGTCAAAGTTATCCTTCGCCTATTGCAGAGAGAAGGAAGGTGGGAGGTGTGAAGAGGACAATAAAGCAGGTCTTGTGAATTTTCTGTTCGAAAACAAGGAAGAGAGTTTTTCTTCCCACAAACAAGAACAGTTTGTCCAAAGATAAAACCACTTCAACATTTCATAACCTTGAACTTTCTCACATTTTTTATGCCACCAGCAGCCCAATAGATTGCATGTTATTGTTTTGGGTTTTTTTTTTTTTTTTGGAAGCTCAGCAGAAAGTGGTGCGTAACCTTGAATTGGGATGAAAATAGTGCTTGGTTTTCCTTTTTTTTTTAAAAAAAAAATAAATAAAAGCCCAAAACATGACTTGTGTTTAAGTTCTGCCCCATTTCACATGGATACCCCTGAATAAAGTGCAACCATGCAGTCAGATACTGTTACCTCTGTGTAAGTTAATCTCAGTATAAGTGCACTTTTTGCGCAAAAGCCTCAGATGTTTGTAAGAGAACATTGAAAAATAAAAACTTAAAAGTGATCCATGCATTATTATTTAAACCAGGACAATTATTTTATTAAATTTTTTTATTTCCTTTATTTAACCAGGTAAACCCGGTTGAGATCTAGATCTCATTTTCAAGAGGGACATTTTCAAAACTGCCCTCCAGAGGACACACACTCAGTAAATACAGAACGTCTGTGTTCATTTAATTTCAGCAGACCAGCACAATCGTTCTATGAAATCAGAGGTTTAATGCTGCTATAAACACGAATATTTACTGCTCCATCAATTAAGCTCAGTTGTTGTGGGAAAACAAGCATGGAGAATGACCCAGAGCTGTAACCAGGCAAAAGTTGATATGACTGCAGAGCTGCTGTGGCGGTTCTGTGACAAGAATCAGAAACCAGCCTTTGTTTATGGTTCTCACATTCCAGAGCAAAGTGGGTAGAACGCTCTTGAAAAGGTACAATTGGAGCTGGAGAGGGAAATGTTTTCTTAGAGTCGGTGAACAGGGACGTTTCCATGGAGACTGCTGGCAGGCTGACTGTGCAGTGTTGTGGAATAGAAGCACATCTCATCCCGCTGGGTTCCTCTCTGTTCAGTAAGACCCAACTAACACGCCACGCTGAAGACGAGGTAAAGCTTCAATCTAGAACTGTGATCGGAAACTTTAAGCAGAAGCACATGTACAGGAAGCTTCAGTTTTCACTTCATTCATCTAAATATCTGATCTCGGTCAGAAACAAAAGTTGGTATCTAACCTGAATAGCCAACAACTATTCTAGGTTAGGTAGAACTAAAATGAGACAGGCTTTTATGTATGGTGTTTACATAATTGTTTAAATTTATCCTGAAGTGAACAATAACACTCCATCATTGTTTTATCAAAGCTGAAATAGGCGTCTGCCTGGTGGTATGGCTCCACGGTCTCCTCATACAGCCGTCCCACACTGCACCCCGTAAATTGCTCTTAAAGTAGCAGTATTATGACAGAATTATTTTATAGCACAATCAATTAACTATGTAGCCTTCAGTTGTTTTAACTCCCCCACTCAGTTCCTGCAGACTAGCCAGCAGCAATTAGCAAACCTCTGGTGGAACAACGCATAAGCTGAGATCGTGTTAGGAGCTTCTTCTCAGTGAAACACTGGTAAAAATGTTGTTAATGGGTTAATAGAGGAGCCATGTTGTGATGACTTCCTGAATGCGCAGTTTCAGAAAGAGCAGGATTTTTTAAAGAGACAGAGAGGTCCAATTTCAAGGAGTGAAATTACAAAGTCAAATTTCTTTTAAGTCATTTTCATCCATCCATTTTCTGTACACTCTTGTCCCTAGTGGGGTCATTGGGGTTGCTGGTCTATAAAAAGGCACCATGTGTCTGGAAAATTCACAACACATCTCATTTAAAGGATTTCTCAAAAATGAATTGAAGAAATAACAATAGAATCAAACTGGCAATAAATCCGGTATGTTTGTGATGAGGGAACAACATTATAACATGATCAAAAGAAGATGATTTTACATTACGTGTGTTGCCCTGAGATTAACTGGCAATCTGAAGGTTTAGGGTGAAGCAGACCCGATTACAGCAAGGACCACATAGGCAAAGGTTAAAAGAGCTAAGACATTTGGTAGACAGATGAAGCCAAAATAGCAAACCAGTCAGTTCAAAATGAAGGACGAACCGAGGTTAAATAAGTTCTTGAGGCATGTTTTGCAGAAGTCATTTTCTGTCCGACTTCTTCACCAGTCACCTGAGTTTCTAAGAAATGCAGCATTTGTTTTCTAACAAATCAAGGTCTCTTGAGGGTCACTCAGGACAACGTGTTCAAAACCATTTGTCATGTGACAAATATTTGTGAACCAAGAAGCCAGGTTTAAAAACAGGAACTCGAGATGGTTATTCATCCTTTTATTTCCTGTCTTCTGTAAGAATCAACAGAACTCATTCAGTTGGTCCAAACCAACAGAGAAGATCACGATCCTGCTGTTTTATTATCTTTGTACTAGTAACCTGTTGATTTTAGAATCCATTTTAAAAATCCAGACTGTAATTTTCAAGGCTCTTTATGGTAAAACTCCTTCCTCTGATACTACAGTTAAAACCACATCCTCCAACTACAGCTCTAAGGTCAACAATCAAAAAGAAAAACCTACCTCTCTGTTTTAAATTTGATTTGTTTTGCATCTTTAATCAGGTTTTCGTTTAATATTTTAATGAGAACCACTTAGTCTGACATATTTGAAGACGTATTTTTGACCAACAGTTTTTTGATATTTGTATGCCGTCATTTTATTCGAGCTCTCGCCACCAGACTTAAGACCTCAGATAGAATTCAAATAAATAAAGTCTGACCCACATGGTGGCCGTAAAAAACCCAGAGTTATCATACCTCCATCACTGTGTTCGACAGTGGTTACTAGGGGTTACTAGGTGTTTACGCTGACCTGCAGTCAGACCTGTTCTCTGTTCAAAGGACATGACTCCAGCAGTTTTCAGATTCATTCAGATACATTTGCAAAACTAAGCATTCCTGATGTTTTACTTTTTGGAAGAACAAAATTTTCCACAGCAACACTTCCAGAGGAACCATTCTTGTTCGATGGATACAAAAATAAAGAAACATTCCTGAGATTATTTAATATCTGGTGTATATTTCACTTGATACAGAATGTTTGCTTTTTGTCTAAAGAAACATTATCTAAAGGAAGCTGGAATGTATTTTTTTCTTACTTTCCTGTTTTCTGAACTGAGTACATTGCTGTAAATGAACTTTTTCAGCAGTCTTGGCGCAGTGTTGGTTTTATGTTGTGTCTGATGAATTTATTTTTGGACTTCCTCTGTATTAAATCAGAGTGATCATGAAAGAAGTCACAGGTTCAAATGTGTTTTAGTTTAAAAGAAAAACGGTTGAGAACTATGTTTGTTTAACACCATGACAGAACTTTTCAGAAGACACTTTTCTTCTGCTAAAATCTGTAAAATGCCACAATATTGACACATTCAGTGTTGTGAAAGAGAAATAAACCAAAGCAATAACTGCACCAAAGAGTAGAGGACTATTCTGAAACTACTCATGTTCTGATGCAACTCTCTGTCGTGCTCATTTAGGGTAAACCTCTGTGTGGAAACCAGTGTTGGATGTTAAAATGATACTCCACCCTGCAATCTATCATGACCTTAATCACATCAAGCTGGATCAGCAAATATAAAACATGTTCCTCCATTATAAAATCATCAACGCTATTTTTAGATTTCCAACAGCTAAAAATGGCTGCAGCAGACATGACTAAACCAACGTCACTCATCTTTTATTGATAACCAGAAATATATCAGCTTGTTGTTCCATGTGACAGGTGAGTTACATGAATAAACATGTTTCAACAGCCTCCGGCACACAAATAACTGAGCTTTTCCCAAACACACCTTAGAAATGCTGTGGTTCCACTGGAGGTTCGGTGATTTTCCTTAATATGCACAAAACCAGCGTTTCATGTCAACATGTGACGTAACCAGACATTCACAGTGGAACCTTAAGCCACGCCACGAGGCATGGAAGCATTTCTGTGGTGGTAGAATTCCAGGCGGTTAGCTAACAAACGCCCAGGGCAAACCAGGACCTGTAACTCTTCTATACTGAAATGGTTTTCCCTTCTAAGACAACATGGATATTTTAACTGTATCAATGAATGACAAGACCAACTGGAGTTGCAGTCTGCATTCTTTACCTAATATACATTATGACTTAGAAACTGATTCCAGTCTGATTTGCTCTAGTGCTCTGACAGGAAATGTCTTCTGACAGAGGAATTATTCAGAACTGACCAAGACTTTTCAGAGTGTTCGCGAAATCGTCAACATCATTTTTGAGTTGCCACCTTTCCTGAGTACAACAGGTCACTTTAAAGTTTGAATTATTTCAGATTTTCTTTAGCATGTTTACTTCACTGAAGCTATAGCTGGGCAGCTATCCCCAATAGGATCAGTTTATTCATTGATAAATGGTAATGCTAATACTCCATTGGAAATAGGAGCAGAGATCTGGAAAATAACACCAGAACTGAGCTAAGGGTGTTGTAGACGGAAGTCAAGAATCCAGTTGGTGTTGATGATTGATGTAGCACTAACGAGCAGTAGCAGTACAAGTACAAATCAAGCAAACACTAAAGGAATATGTGAGAAACTAAAAATGGTAAAATACTACAAATGCCATATGTTAAGATACAAAATGGAAGGGGGTATATGTAGTTGTGTATATATAATATATAGTTGCTAATGCTATACATGCTAGCCACTAACCTTTAAAGTCAGGATTTCAGTTTTAGGGAATATTCCTGTTGTTTATTCAACTCCCAAGTACAAAAACATGACTTTGTAGAAATTAAATAGTTCATTTGTTATTTATGTTACACAATAAAAAAAATCAAATGGATGACTAAAGAAAAAAAATCCTATAAAAAACGTTCACATAACTAAACCATATCTACATATATAGATATCTATATCTATTATCTATAAATTATTATTATTATT